GTAGGATTTGTTTTCTTCTTATGGTTGAATAATATTAAATTGTGCATATGTACCACATCTTCTTTATCCATTCATCTACTGATGGACACTGAGGTTGCTTCCATTTCTTGGCTATTGTAAATAGTGCTGCAATAAACATAGGGTGCATATGTCTTTTTCAAAGTGGGCTCCTGGAATTAGGATAAATTCCTAGGAGTGGAATTCCTGGGTCAAATGGTATTTCTATTTTTAGTTTTTTGAGGAACCTCCATACTGCTTTCCACAATGGTTGAACTAATTTACATTCCCGCCAGCAGTGTGGGAGAGTTCCCCTTTCTCCACATCCTCGTGAACACATTTGTCTTTTGGATGGTGGCCATCCTAACTGGGTTTTATGTAATCTTACTGTGATATCTCACTGTGGTTTTAATTTGCATTTCTCTGATGATTAGCTATGTGTGGAGCATCTTTTCATGTGCCTGTTGGCCATCTGAATTTCTTCTTTGGGGAAGTGTCTGTTCAGATCCTCTGTCCATTTTTTAATTGGATTATTTGCTTTTTGTTTGTTGAGGTGTGTGAGCTCTTTGTATATTTTGGATGTCAACCCCTTATCAGATATGTCATTTATGAATATATTTCCCCATACTGTCAGATGCCTTTTTGTTCTACTGATGATGTCCTTTGCTGTACAGAAGCTTTTAAGTTTGATATAGTCCCACTTGTTCATTTTTGCTTTTGTTTCCATTGCCCGCGGAGATATGTTCATGAAGAAGTTGCTCATGTCTATGTCCAAGAGAGTTTTGCCTATGTTTTCTTCTAAGAGTTTTATGGTTTCATGACTTACATTCAGGTCTTTGATTCATTTTGAGTTTACTTTTGTGTATGGAGTTAGACAGTAATCCAGTTTCATTCTCTTACATGTAGCTGTCTGGTTTTGCCAACACCAGCTGTTGAAGAGGCTGTCATTTCCCCATTGTATATCCATGGCTCTTTTATTGTATATTAATTGACCATATATGCTTGGATTAATATCTGGACTTTCTATTCTGTTCCACTGGTCTATGGGTCTGTTCTTGTGCCAAATTGTACCAAATTGTCTTGATTACTGTGGCTTTCTAGTAGAGCTTGAAGTCAGAGAGCATGATCCCCCCAGCTTTATTCTTCCTTCTCAGGATTGCTTTGGCTATTCAGGGTCTTTTGTGGTTCCATATGAATTTTAGAACTATTTGTTCCAGTTTGTTGAAGAATGCTGTTGGTATTTTGATAGGATTGCATTGAATCTGTAGATTGCTTTAGGCAGGATGGCCATTTTGACAATATTAATTCTTCCTACCGAAGAGCATGGGATGAGTTTCCATTTATTAATGTCATCTTTAATTTCTCTTTAGAGTGTCTTGTAGTTTTCAGGGTATAGGTCTTTCACTTTCTTTGTTAGGTTTATTCCTAGGTATTGTATTCTTTTTGTGGCAATTGTGAATGGAATTGTTTTCCTGATTTCTCTTTCTGCTAGTTCATCATTAGTGTATAGGAATACAGCAGATTTCTGTGTATTAATTTTGTATCCTGCAACTTTGCTGAATTCAGATATTAGTTCTAGTAGTTTTGGAGTGGAGTCTTTAGGGTTTTTTATGTACAATATCATGTCATTTGCAACAGTGACAGTTTGACCGTTTCCTTACTAATCTAGATGCCTTTTATTTCTTTGTGTTGTCTGATCGCTGTGGCTAGGACCTCCAGTACTATGTTGAATAAAAGTGGGGAGAGTGGGCATCCTTGTTTTGTTCCCGATCTTAGGGGAAAAGCTTTCAGTTACTCGCTGTTAAGTATGATGTTGGCTGTGGGTTTATCATATATGGCCTTTATTATGTTGAGGTACTTGCCCTCTATACCTGCACATAAACTATTGTTAAGCCAGTATTCTCTCCATCCTATGTTTATGTAATTTATTTTTTAACCCAAAATTTCATTTTGCAATAAATTCTAGCTGTTATTATTTATCTTTATTACATTTTATTCTGCAGTTTGGAGCCATCATTTTGCCTTTCTTCTTGGTTTGAATCTTGAGTTTGCCTTTCAGTACATTTGATTTTCTTTACAGCCCTGTCCCAGCAGCACAGATGAATGTGCTTTCTGTGTCACCATTCAAGACAGGGACAAGGAGAGGCCTGGGGAGGTCACTGGAGACCTCCTGCCCCTTTTTGGCTTCAGTGATCAAAGAACTGCCAGTCCCCTTAATAGTGCTGGTAAGATGGCCTGCAGTTCTCCTTGACTCTGAAGCCAGTGACAGACTTTTAGAGATGCTTTTCCTAAAATCTACACTTACTATACCTCCAACCATGACATCCTTGACTGACAGCAGATGTTGTCTAGATCATCCCGTATTTCACAGAGGAGATTGTAACTTGCCAATATCACATACTGTGACGGGGCTGGCTTTTTTATTTATAATACCATGTTCTTTCCTTTCTATCATGCTTCCTACCATTCAGGAAACTTATTTATTGCTGCTGTAACAAATTACCGCAAACTTGGTGGCTTACACAATAAAACTTCTTATCTTACAGTTGTGTTGGTCAGAAGTATGACACAGGTCTCACTGGACTAAAGTCAAGGTGTCTGCAGGGCTGTCCGCTCGGTGGGCTCTAGGGGAAAGTCTGTTCCCTTGCCCTTTCCAGCCTCTAGGGGCATTCTGCATTCCTTGGCCCTTCCTCCCACTTCAAAGCCAGTAACTGTGGGTGAACTCCTTCTTATGTCCCATTTCTCTGCCCCTCCTTCCATTGTGGAGCCTCTTTCTTCCCATGGCCCTGAACATTTCTCCCTTTCAAAGGCTCATGTGATCCATTGGTCTGCTGGGATAAACGTGTCCTCCCAATCTCATGGTCCTTAAGGTAATCACATTTACATTTTTCTCACAGTTCTGGGAATTAGAGTGGGAACATTTTGGGGAGGACATTATTCTGCTTACCATGCCCTGTTCATAGATTAGGGCCTCCCGTAGCCAGTGGGTTACAGTAATAAAGACATTGTAACCTGACTTGCAGAATCTCAGACTTCCTTGACTTCCTGATGTCCCTGGGACTCACCAAGGCTCATACAGCCCCGGGGCACACAGCCAGCTCTTTACAATGCTCTGGTAGTTTGGCTCCTGCCTTTTGTCTGCCTTAACACAGTCCCCGTAATAAGCAGTGAAGAGGCCAAGAGAGGGCAAGAAATGGACTTTGGTGTTTGTCCTCTAGGATCTCAGATGATACTAGAAAATATCTAATGTCTAAATAGATACTGGAAAAACTGAAATGTACAGCATTGGCCCCTCCACTCTTGAAAGGCCCCAGGCAGGTAACAGCTGTTCCTGACATTCGGGCAGGTGAGGTACAGCTTGGAGCTGCAGGCATCCTTTCTGATGTACAGCCTCAAAAGGTAATGTGACTTGTCAGTATTGCACAGACCCCATGTACCTCCCTTGGGGAAGGAGAAGGATCTCCTCTCATATCCTATGCACATAAGGTGGCTATGGAAGGGAGTGCGGAACGTCATGAGGAGCTGTGTGATCGCTGTCGCCAGAACAGCGCAGGGGAAGAGAAGCGCAGGCCAGGCCTGCCTGAGCCATCGGTGCTGCCGTGTCAGCTCGCTCCAGTTCCATCTGGGCACCCTCCCTTCTGGAGCCTCTCCAAGGCTCAAGTTAGGCGGCATGCCCATGCCCATTGATTCTTGTTTTTTGTGTGTGAATATGGGAAGCTTGGTTTGGCACTTTACCTGGCATCCAGGTCGTGTTCACTTGTGCACTGGTTCTGGAAACTGGGACACTATCTACCATTTATACAATTCCTGCAAGGGTTCCTGCAGTTGGTTTACACACATGCTGCCCCCACCCCCGTGCCCACAGATACAAGTACCCTGACTGCCTGCCCACCCCCACCACCAGCTGCTCTGTATGTTCTCACTCACAGGCCTCCGAGGCCCCCAGGGAGCTACCGACCCACACCACTGTCTGTTAGCTGGGGAAGGCCCTGACAGGCCACCGGTGGTGGGGGAGGAGGCTGGGTCGCTGGAAACTCTCACCAAGCGGGACGGTTAGCAGCTGCAGGGACACCTTACACAACAGTGAGCCTTAAAACACTTCTAGAATCTCTCTCCATCACCTTTGAAGACTTTTCTGAAAACGACCCATCATTCCCTGCCATGGGAAAAGGTAACAGCTCTCACAGGCACCTCAGCCTACAGAATCCTTCATGTTGATCCTTCAGTCAGGCTTTGATAGAAGCTCACCTCACACAGACCCCACAGGAGACCGCAGAGACCTGGGGATCTGTGTGTGAGAGCACATTCACACCTGCATACCCCTGCCTCTCCTCAGATGCAGCTCTCAAGTGACAAATGTGCCCTTCTGCCTCAGTGGCACTTGCTGGGGGACACAGCTCTTGACACACCCATATGCCCACTGCTGCTCCTCCACACACCACTAATCATACACTACAAGCTGTTAGCATGTGGTGAGATACTCTTTCCCCTTCCTTTTTCCTCCCCACAGCTGTGGTGGGCAGTTGGGGAGGGTGTTCTGAGGGGGCTTATGTCACCCGCAGGGAGTGGGTTTTTTCCCACCTACACACCTTGTCTTGTCCCAGCCTCTTCTCATCCCCAGAATCGGCCCGATTGTGGTCAAATCTTGGTAAAAGAACATTAGGGAGCACCTTTGAACCACTGCTCAGCAACCCCTCCTCCCTACTGCATTCCCTCTTTGCCACCAGCCAGGCCCTCACCACTGAGGAGGGCCTCTCAACCCCTGGTCTTCCCCTACAAATGCACCCTTTTTCTTTGGGGCTGGGTGCAAAAGGACAAGCTTGGGACTTTATAAAGGAAGAACTTCAAGGGGAAAGTAAGAGACCAAAACCAAACAAAGGAAAAAATCAAAAACTCAGCTGGTCCAGAATCTGCACATTTAGCTCCAAGCCCTGCTTTGTTCCTTCCCCTTCCCTCTAAGAAGCTGCAGTGCTTCCTCACCCCTGCCTGACACCTTTGCTCACCTGCTCCCTGGAGCAGTCAGTGCTGCAGGCTTTTCCTGAGGTGCACAAGCTGGGGTTGTTCCTCATCCTCACCCCTGCCAGGGCCTATCCCAGGGCCCCTGCCTCCAGGACTCAGCTTGCTGGATCCAGCTCCTGTGTTGGACATGGGAGATGCCTGAGTTTAGCAGGGGGGCAGGAGGAATGAGGAAGGGCTGGCCACAGGCATGACCAGTAGGGCAACAAGGGTGGAGGAGGCCAGGGAAAGGCTGTTAAGAGGGAGTCTCAGGGTATTTACAAGGGAGAAAGTGTGGTCCCAGTTCCTCTGCCTCCTCCAAAGGGCTGCCACATTCCTAGGAAGGGATTTGGACTGAGAAGCTCCCTGTGTATGGAATCCTTGGAGTTCTGTGGACTGCAGCAGGAGGAGAGCTGGGTCACCCTGAAAGCCCCCAAACTAATGGGGAGATCAGCCCCACCAAATCAGGGATGCCTTTCTGGGACCCCCAGGATGATGAGGCTTGAGGGCTCCACACAGGGACCCCCAATCTAATGAGGAGGTCAGAGCCCCACTCTGGAGCAGTGATTGGGGAGATCCCCTGTGGTCAGCTGGGCACAAAATACCTTACTGACACATAAGTAAGCCCGCAGGCAGGACAGCCAGGAAAAGAGCATGAGGCACATCAGGAGGGCAGGGGTTTGGAGCCCAGCACTGCCCAAGCGGGTGCAGGATGCATGAAGGGAGAGCACAGGCAGGACAAGGGACAGGCCTGAGTAGTGGTCCTGTGACACCTCCAGCCTTTCCCCCATGCTCTGGACCTCAGTTTCCCCTCCCCTGCCCCTCTAGCAGTTCAGGGATCCATCTGCTTCACTGAACCCATCTGTCTGAGACTTGCTCACATCTTCCTCTTTTGTAACTGGAAGTCACAGGTCAAATCGGTGAGCTGTGACCCACACAGAGCCGAGCCTTAGGGTGTGAAGGGACAGCGGGGAGAGCGGCAAGGGAAGTTCAGGGCTGGTGGAAGTTGGGAGGCTGGCGGGAGCAGAGGGGCTCAGGACCATGGCGGAGACCATCACCTATGCAGACCTGCGCTTTGTGAAGGCTCCCCTGAAGAAGAGTATCTCCAACCGGTTAGGACAGGGTAAGGGGGAACATGAGGCTCCTTGACACTGCAGCCGCACCCTCCTTCACGACCCCACCCCACCGACCCCATTCCCCACCTCCACTTTTCTCTCCTCTCCACACCAGAAGCTGACGAGGATGAGGAACTCACCTATGAAAACGTACAAGTGTCCCCAGTCCCAGGTGGGCCCTCCAGCTTGGCTGCCTCTGGCCTTGGGGGCAAAGCAGGTATGGAGAGTGGGGTGGGTGGGGCGCTCGCGAGGGGGCAGCGGGGGCTCTGAGCTGGGAGTCCACAGTAGGCTTGAAAGGAAAAGGGGAGTTCTCAGGGAAGAAGCCAAGAGCCCTGGGTGTACGGGAGCCAGGGAAGGGCAAGCTCCCAGGGGCAAGGTGGAGCTGCGAGTGGGGAGCCAAGGGCTCGGGGGAGGGATCAGGGCGGCCTGTCGAATGGGAAATGGAGAGTCGCGGGAGAGGAGAGAGGGTAGGTGGGAGTACGGGAGCCCGCGCGGGGAGGGGGTTTGGCGCAGGCAGCTGAAGGGACCCTGAGGAAAAGGTCACGGGAGACCCCGGGCAGCGACGAGGGAGTCCCTGGGGAGAGGATAAGGTGAGACCCAGAGGGGCCCGAGACAGTCCCGGGGGAGGAGAGGGACTCCGGAGAGGGCTCAGGCTGCCCCGAAGCAGTGGCGGAAGGCATCTCAGGGCGCACGGGGGTCCCCGCGCAGTGGAGGGGGCGGGCGGGGGGCGGGAGGAGAGGGGAGAGTCCCGCGCCTCCCAGCTTCACACTGGAGGCGCCCGCGTTCCGCAGGGGTGCAGTCAGAGTGGCCACCCGCGGCCTGGAGCTCCGTGAGGCCACCGGCAGCCGGGCGGCTCCACCGCGGTGAGTACCGCGCGCCGCGCCCGGGCGTTCCGGGCCTCCCGGCAGGCGCTGGGCCGGGGGCGGGGCCGCCGAGGCCGCCCCTCCCACCGCGGCGCGCGCGAGCCCGGGCGCTGGGGGCAGCTGGGGGCCGCGCGGGCGCCCGCTGTCCCAGCTTGGATGCTGCTGGGCCCCGTGGGGTGCAGGTCTGGTGCGGAGAGTGAGCCTGGGGCGCCCCGCGGCGCCTCCCCTGCCCGTTAAACCTCCATCCCGGTCTGACCTTGCCGACGTGTGGTCTTGATCCTGTCCTCCCTTCTCCCCTGTCTCCGTCTGAGATTTAGTTTTGCACCCTACCGGGCAGTGCCCCTCAATCTTACCAGTAACAATCCCCAGCCATTATTCTGGAACAGCTTCCTTCACTACCTGCAGAAATTATCTGACAAAAACTACCAAGGCTGGGCCCCATCTTCGGAGGAATACTCTTTCCCATGAATCTCCACCGACCCCGCAGCGCTCATCACCTTAGTCTATGCACTTTTTGGGGGCTCACTGCCCCTCATCCCACTGTCTCCCTAAGGCTGTGCAGCTTGCCTTCAATACCTCCTTCTGGGCCTGCTCCTCACCAGCCTGCTGTTAGGGGTGGCTGCAATCTGCCTGGGAGTGCGCTGTGAGTATGACTGACCCCATTTCCCACTTACCCTGAACAGCTTTCTCCCTACTCTCCCCAACAGCTGCCCTTTCTCTGGGCAGGGCCCAGAGTCACTACCACCACACCTGTAGCTTTGGTCTGATTTCCAGCCAGGTCTGTTTGAGAGCACAGTATCTTTCTAAATTGTCCTTACCTAATCTAGTACCTCCTTAAACTGTAGGCAGTCAGATGTTATATTCCAGCCTGTTATGCAAAAAGTTACCAGAAGCAGAAAAAGGATTTGTGCTGAAGTCTCCGGGCACCAGGGCATGATGGAAGAAGATGCCCTCCAAATCTCTCTTTATGGCCAAACAGATGTGCAGGTGTCTTGGCAGCTCCAGCAGATGAACAGTGTTCTGGAAGCCACGAACAGCAGCCTGAGGCAGCAGCTCCACCTGAAGATGACCCAGCTGGGCCAGAGGGAAGAGGACCTGCAGGGGTCCAGGAGGGAGCTGGCCCAGAGTCAGGAAGCACTGCAGGAGGAGCAGAGGGTTTGCCAGGAAACTGGAGAGCGGTTACAGGCCTGCCAATCTGACAGGGAGAAGACAAAGGAGGCCTTGCAGAGAGAGGAGGTGCAGAGGAAGATCTTGGAGCAGAGGCTGAACAGCATGCAGGACACACTGAAGCCCTTGTTCACATGCCTCCCATCAGGTATCTGTTCTGGGAGGAGATGAGAGATGGAAGGGTCTGCTGTGAGGGATGGACTGAAGTGTGGCAGAGGCCTGACTGTCTCTCAGGGGGCCACTGAGTTGTTTAGGAAAGGGAAAGTGAAGTAGAGTGGTGGCTGACACACTGTGCAGCCTTGGCAAACAGAAAGAAGTATCAAGCTGCATATGGTTTAGGGTGCTAACCCAGCTCGAAGGTAGATCCTATAGTGGAGAGGAGGGTAGCAGCCGCAACACAAACCACACTGTCCCAAGCAGCCAGCTTGGGCCTCACCTGGCCTGACATCAGGGTCAAGGATCTGGGAACCTCCTGAATTTGGATATGAATGGTTGGTTGCACTTCTTTCTAAAGAGAGAGTTTAATTCTTTAATTCTCACTGTGTCTGAGATTCTCCAAGTGGTTAAGAATTACCAACTGATGAGGTTTGTCTGGTGGTGGGGCAAGGCCGCTGAAGCTCTCAAGCATGGGTGACACTCACAGAGAGGTGGCTGGGTAATGGGGGCTAGGGAAGTGGGGTGCAGTGTTTGTCCATTTTGAAGGCAGGAGTCCAGCCAGTATGTGCAGATGAGGAAGGGAACACAAAAAAGCAGACAGGCTATACCAAAGCAGGTTGAGGTTCGAGGCAGGCTGCCAGGCCCTTGGGGACTGAATGTTGATGGATTGGTTATCTATGGTTGAGGTTAGGCTCTGTGGACAGAGGGCATCTGGATACTCCTTGAAGGCTTAAGACACTGAGATGATGTGCAGAGACCCTTGGTCCTTGTTTCTTCAACCTTATTCTTGATGACCCTCAGTCCCATGCGAGTGCTGCCTTCCATTCCCACAGACACACCCAGGCTCAGCATCTCAAATTGCTCTTCTCAAAGGCCGCCTTCAGACCTCCACTCTGACTGCAACTGCGCCCTCCAGGCTTCCCCCACGCTTCTTCCACCTCACTGAGGCCTCCAGCCCACTGACTCCCCTGCTCCTTCCTTTGCACCAGCTGTCACTTCTCTCTCTGCCTTGGCTTCTGGGGCCCATCACTTCAAGCACTTACTCTTTTGTTCTGTTGTCCTTCTGGTGCACCTGAATAGCAATCTCTCAACTCTGGATGAACTCAACTGCTCACCTTGACCATGCTGGCACCCATGTGTGACAAATTGTGCATTCTGCTCCATGCCACTGAAACCCTGGTCTCAACCCCAGCTGGGGCCTTGTGCTGCCTGGCTATCTGCTCTCTGTAATAGCTCCTTTCCCTGCCACCCTCTCTTTTCCTTTCAGCAGATGCCTTGGAATTCCCTCCACTTTCTACCACCCTTTCTATATATCCATTTTTGCTCTTCCTTCCATTCCTTGCAAGGATAAGTGCAACAGCTTGCTGAGTGTTTTTCTTAAACATCCCCCACCCCCACCAACCCAAGTCCACTTATCATGTTGTAGCCAGGATAATCCTTTAAAAACAAAAATATGATCATGTCATCCCAGTTTAGATCATGTTATTCCAGATAATTAATTACATCAAAAGTTCTGGAATACTGTGTGTCCAGCACTGTGCCCAGGCACTTAGGATATGCCAGTAAACAAAATTGCTCTGCATAAAACCCACATGTCTTTTTCTTATGACATAAAAATAAAAAGTCCTTAACATGGCTTCCAGGGTCCCAGCACACCACTTACCCTCTTCCATTTGGCCACACTGACTTTTTATTCTTTTAAGTTGCCTTGGACAATAATTCAAGAGGGTAGCTGTCTGGGGACATGAGAAAATGTAGACAGCAGAGAGGGGACTAGTGAAATGATTTTTGACTGTTTTGAGTGATGGAGGTAGGATTCATGGAATAAAGCAATGAGAGAGGTGGGTCGGGCTCAGAAGCAGATTAGGGTGTAGAATGTTAAAGAAAGAAGGGTTTTATTTCTCATGGATAGTCGGGAAAAGAGGACCAGAGAAGAGACACATTTTGAGGTGGAAGGGAGAGAAATGGAGAGAGTTCACAAATGTCCAACAATCTGAGAAAAACAGGAACTAAGGTTGTCTACTTGTTGGGGGTGGAGAGGGAAGGGGGAGGCTAGCAGCCTGAGGAGTGTGGCAAAGTTTTTCGTATGCAGGATGGAGGGGGGAGGCATAGGGAGCTAGTGAGATGAATGAGAGGCCTGCTGAACACGTGTGGCGGCCCCAGGAGAGATCAGCCAAAATGGGGGGTGGACTGCAATCATTCAGGAAGTGGGAATGGTACCACCAGCCCTGTAAAATGAACCTCCCAGACTGCCAAGGAGAGATATTGTTGAATATTGAAGGCCTTTTACTAAGGATACACAAGCATGGCATTTCCAGGGGACCCAAAAGAAAGACTGCAAAGATGGAGGAACAGAAGTCAATGAAGGCACTGAGATTAGACCCGAAGGAACATTGCTAGCAACCAGATTGCTGAGTCATCCCTTTCCTCCCAATTGTTGAGATCTCCCTCCTGCGTCTGGCTGTGCTGTCACATTCTTTCTGCTTTTTAGATACCTGCTGTCCCCTGGGATGGATACTGAACGAGAAGAGTTGCTTTTACATCTCACTTGCGGAGAAGAATTGGAAGGACAGTCGAAACTATTGTAAATCTCTGTCCTCTGACCTGGCCACATTCAGTGACATTTATTCTTTTTATCCAGTAAGCAAACCCTCTTTCACAGGCTGTAGTGGGTACTGTTAGGTAAAGGGACATCGGTCATCAATCAGGAACGGAAGTGCACACGAGGCACACGTTCCTTTTCCATGCGGCTTCTCAGCACAGAGCTCCAGGCGGTCCCTACTGATAAAAGTTGACATGAGAGTTGAAATCTATGAACCATTTTTAACTTGTTACAACTCAGCTTTCTGGTTCAGCTTTCATCTATGTAACAGGTTCTCTGACTCTCATGGCCTCTCAGGTCCTATACTTAGTGGGCTGAGCTGTAGAGATCAGTACTGTGTAGCTGCAACAGCCCATGAATGACTCCCTATCAAAGCTGGCAGAAATGCTTATCCAGCTGAGCGCTGAGCTGAAGGGTGAGCCTGCATCTACAGGGTGGCACCTGACATAGCACAGATGAGCTGAAGTCATGCACCACTGTTAGGCACTGTCATAGCCCTTGCCAAAGCTCATAGGTTTCCATAGTGTTCAGTTTCTTCCATCAGCTCACCCAACCTCCCTTCTACACCCCCCAACCCTGTTCCAGTATTTCTCATCACTCTCTGCTCATCTGTGGTCTCTTTGAATCTCCCCTCAGCTTCATGCCAGCAGCATCAATAATGTGTTGGCACAAGTTGGCCAGCTTGATTCACTTTGGGTTGGCCTCAGCTTTAACGATGGCTGGCAGTGGATTGATGGTAGAAGAATCTCTGGGTAAGTTTGTTAAGACTTTAGGGCATTTTCAACTCCATAATTCCTTCATAAAGACACTCCAGGTTCTGCTCCCAAAACCCTTTCCACAAATTAATATTGTCATTGCCTATTTGTCCATTTCCTCTATTTGATTAATAACTCCTTAGGGTGGTCTTATTCTTTATTCTATCTCCTGTACCTAGAAGTTCCTGGCATATGCTTTTGAAAAAAACTATAAGGTTGGGACCTATATCACTTTTCTCTGAGGTAGAAGCTGAGGCTTTCGGAGGTCTTCACAGCTGATGAAGAACCCTGGCATTCTAACTTCCTGTCCCCTGACAAGGCTATCCTAGTTGAGGTGGTACTTTCTCAGTCAGGGCCACTTGGGGCCTGGAATTTCCCGAAGGAAGAGAAACAATGGGGTAACTTTGAGAATCAACCCCAGGGACCTCCGAACAGGGTAGTCATCTCCTATGTTTCCAACTGGATTTTCCACCTTTAAGACCTTGGATGATTTCCCCCCACCCCCAGTCAAAGCACCTTGGGTTGGAGCCCAGACGTCTGTCCCTGAACCATGCCTCAACATTGCTCTAGGCAGGCAGCTGAGTGAGGGCTAGGGCTTGGCTTAGGTTTTATGCAGGGCAAAGGAGAGAAGGGAGGATGGGATAGGAGGGGGCCAGAGCTTATCCCAGTTCTATTTCACCACTCTTTAGTAGGACTTCGGGTGAAAGATCAAAATGTGTCAAGATGAAAAATAATAGTTGGGTAAAACTGCAGCCGGAAGAGTGTACATCTCCTCTTCCTTGCCTCTGTGAGATGACGGCTTTCATGTTTCCAGCTGGGGACCAGTCTTTGCACTGAGGTAAGTGTAAGGGATGGGACTGAGGCATGGGAGAGGGACTCGGAGCAGGGCCCCAGAAGTTAGGGGGAAAACCTGGTCCTGGGAGTGCCAGTCACATCCACAGGCTCCGGGGCTGTGGTCTGCTTAGGTAAGGGGGGAGAGGTGATGGGCAGGGAAGGCTGGAACTGACAGGAGGCTGGTGGTGTAGCAGTCCAGGGAGCTGGGGAGGAGATATGATAAGCTAGCTTAGTCAACTGAGGAGCTCATTGAGGCTTTGCTCTGTCAGATGCTCATGTCAATAAGAGCCTGTGTCCCTTACCCCTAACCTGCAGGGCCTAAGATCACCTCCCTCCAGCATCCTTCACTTCGCCTGGATGGTGCCCAGCCAAAGGTGGATCCATGCCCAACACTTCTAGCCAGTCTGCTGCCTGCTTGGAATCCTGTTCCTGGGAAAAGGGTGAAGAAACCTCTAGAAGAGGTTTTGGCCTCCTGAAGAACCTCCCACAGTGGAATGGGCTGGGGGAGGAGGGCGCATGGCCTGAGTGGATAGGGGCAGCCCGGAGCCAGCCAGGCAGTTTTATTGAAATATTTTTAAATAATTTTGCAAGTGTTAGTTTCGTGTGTCAGCAATGCTCTGTCTGGTTCAGTGATGCCCACAGGAGAGCAAGCCCAGAGTTTGGAGAGGAAATGTTCTGTCCCTTGAGTCCAGGCTGAGGTTCCCCTACAGGTGGAGGAGAGCCTGTCAGCCCATCTGGGACTGGCACTGTCCAGCATGTGTGCTCTGTCCTCACAGGGCATCCTGAAGGCCAAAGTCAGAGGCCTGAGACCACAGGTCCCACTATTACGAGCGCGCCCCAGGCAGCTGCAGGCTGGGGGTGGGGGGCTTGGCATGGTGCCCTCGGTGACAGAGGAGACTGCCTGCCTCACAGTTCAGGTTGCGGTAGCGGGCGGCAGCTGGTGTGGGGCGGGGGCACATGGACAGGAAGCCAAAGCTGAAAGGGCCGAGGCAGCAGCCGGGGCAGGGCAGCCCCTCGTCAGACTCCCGGGCGGCTGAAGGGGGCGGCGAGAGTTCTGTCCGCTCCAGAGCTGCTGCCCGGGGCAGACTATGCTGGGCCCGGTTCCAGGGCTCCCCAGCCCAGCCTTGTGGGGAGTTCACCACCACAGCTGGGGGATTGTTGTTAAGGGGAGGCCCAGATCTAGGGGACCAGGGCTGGGAGGCCGAGGAACAAGTGCTGATGAAGTTGTCTGTGGCCATGGCCAGGGGCAGCTGGGGAGCTGGTCCTGGGGGCTCTGGCTCAGGGCTACTGCCCTCACACTCCATTATCTCTTCAGCTGAGGGGCCCACCAAGGGAGGGCCAGGACCTGGCAGTGCTGTCTCCATACGTCGGGGGAGCTCAGGGGATGATGGCAGCGAGCGGCAGCGGCGGGCAGGCGTCCCAGGCTGGCCCAAGGTCTCTGGGGTGGGCCCCAAGGGCAGCTGGGTGGAGGGCAGTGGTGATAGTGGCACCAGGGGCAGGGGGGTGACTGGCTTGCTCGGTGTGTCCAGGAGCTTGATCTTGCCACCCCTGAGGTCTTCCCGTAGTGAAAAGGGGTTGACTCGAGTTAGATTGTCCCCCGAGTTAGGTGGTGATTCTGGAGATGGGGGTAAGAAGAGGTCTGACCGGCTTCGGGAGAGCCGGGGGTCTGGCCTGGGAAGTGTGGCAGAGGGACCCCCTCTTGGAACAGACCCTGTAGGCAGAGAAGTCTGTGATCACTGTTCTCAGCATTGAGCACAGCTCTTGGAGGGCTCATTTTTCATCAGGAGGCTGCTGGGATTACAGCTTAGAAAAGGGAGTCCCATGGGGTGCTTTGGAAAGGGGGAGGTGTCACCTCCAGCCCTCTTCTACCTCTTCTTTCCTTCTTCCCCTCCCTCAGGCTCTAGAATTAGAAAAATATCTTTTTTGAGATGTTCTCTCACTACACCCTGACCCAGCCTTCTTAACTAGGAAAATAGATGTCTTCTTCATCTCCCCCAGATAATTCCCCAAGCCCTAAGGAGGAGAGGTAAAAGGCCTGTGGTTAGGTCGAGGTCAGGCCCCCTTACCCTGACTGTGCGTCAGGGGAGTGCTGGGGACGAGGGCTGTCTCAGGCAGCTGCTCCAGGGTCCACTCCAGGTGCTGGGTGGTTTCACTGAAGGGAGCACGACTGCTGGGTTCCATCTGGTGGGCAGAGACAGGGGGGCCTCACTCAGTGCCCCAAAGAGGGCCCCTGAGTTTTCTTCCTGTTACCTGGACAGGACAGCCTCGGCAGCTGATGGATGGGGCAGAGGGCAGCAGGGAGAGGGAGGCTCTTACACTGCAGCAGTGGATGGCCAGGAGCAGGAAAGGCAGTGGGCAGTCCTCCCCGACTAGGGTGCGGAACGCAGGCACATCCAGGCCAAAGTCCTGCAGGGACAGACAGGAGGATCTTCAAGTCAACCAGCCTTGGGTATTCCTTCTGCCCCCCAGTCATGACCTCAGCCTTCAGGGAGCCCTCGGTTATAAGCTGCCCAGTCTGGCGTTCCTCCTTTTCAGACCTGTAGACATCATTCACCTCAGTCCGGGGCAGGTAGTCAGGGTCTGCAGGTACTCGTGCAATGAGCTCACAAAGGACAATCCCAAAGGCAAAGACGTCAGCCTGAGAGTAGGGGACGATGTCAGGGGGAGAAATGAACAGTATTCATGTCAGAATTTTGTCAGAATATGCCAGAATCAGTGGGAAGTCCTGACAGTTTTCATGTGTTGGACAGGTGCCTGTGAGGGGCAAGGGGGATATTGACAGACTCCTGAATTACCTGGTAGGGTTGTCGAGGACTTGGGATGGGGCCTTAAAAGAGAATCTCAAGGGTCTCTGGAAGGCCGTGGGGCTCTGAAGGGTGGACGTCTTACCTTCTCATCATACAGCTCACCCCGCAGCACCTCTGGAGCCATCCAGTACGGGGAGCCCACCACAGCCAGTGGCTCCTTCCTTACCCCTTCCCTGCAGGGACAGGGGCAGAGTGGTCAGAAACATCCCACTCAGATAGCCTCCCCAAACAAAAGGGGATGAGGTCAGCCCCTTCCCCCGCTGCAAGGGAAACGTCCCTGGGGGCTTCACTGAGATAGGGGCCTTCTGCAATGTTTGGGAGAACAGGGGTGTTTACCTTACTCACCTATACACAGGAATCTTTTCAGCCAGCCCGAAGTCACCCACAACAGCCGTGAAACCTCGGTCTTCCCGTCGGATCAGACAGTTCTGATATACACACACCGTATCCACACATACCCATCACCTTCTCTTCTCTGATCTCCCAATATACACACCAAAGCCCTGTCACTACAGAAGAACCCCAACACTCTCTGACCTCCCGGTTCTCCAATGCACCCCAATCTTGCAACACTGTCTATCACTCTAAACAGAGAGTGGTGCTCAGGCCCCCAGAGTACTCCCCCTCACCCCAGTTCCCCATTCTCTAATGCCTTGCTACTCCAACAGCCTAACATGTCTATTATTCACATTCCAACGTCCAGGGGCTAGTTATAACCTAATAGTCCCACATCCCCTTTCATGCCTCCACCCACCTGGCCAGCCTACCTTGGATGTGAGGTCTCGGTGGAATACACCTTTCGCATGAAGGTACCGCAGGCCACGGGCAATGTCCAGAGCCAAGCGGAGCCTGACAGGCCAGGATAGGGGCTCAGGGGAGCTGAGTAGCTGTTCTAGTGTCCCTCCATTCATATACTGGGGCATAGGCAGAAGAGAAGGAGAATAAATGTCAAGGTTTCAGTCTGGACTCTAGGTCTCACTTATAAGCTAAGGGACACTCTGGAGGGTCACAAAGGTCAGAAGAGTGAGTCTAGGCTATAGTGTTCCCCATTCATATTCTAGGGCTGTCCTGTCTGATCCATGTGTAACTATTTAAATAAAATTAGACATTTAGTTCCTCAGTCACACTAGCCACATGTGGCTTCTGGCTACAGTTTTGGACAGCACAGAATAGAACATTTTCATTGGTGCAGAAAGTACCATTAAATGGCACTGTTCTAGAAGATATAGAGAATGGAACCAGCTGAGGCCTTTTATTTGTGGTTTGCCCAAACCTAAGTTCAGAGAATCCTCTCCTGGGAGGAGGTCCTGCTGCCTCTCATTATTTCTTAGTAGATGCAACGGACTGCTGAACCCTCTCCCCTTTGAGGTGGTGGTGGTGGGATTCCCTCCATCCCTTCCTGACCATCCTCACCTCTGTTAGAGCGTGCAGCTGTCCCTGGTGCACACAGACCCCCATGAACCTAGGAGAGAATTGGGAAGAAAGGAGGGTAGGCTCTAAGAGCCCTGGCCCCTCCACAGTTTCCACTTTTCTCGCGCGATCATTCCCCTTCCCCCAGCAAGCTTCCCAGCGAGCGGCAAGGACCGCTCACCTTAGGATGTTGGGGTGTCGGAGACGGTTCATCAACTGTACCTCCCGTAGCGTGTTTCCCCGGTTACTGGGGAGCCTGTTCATTTTCAGCACCATGACTTGCCCCGACTGTCGGTGCCGAACCTGGAGGCGGCAGGGGCCGGTGAGTCCCCAGCAGGTTAGGAGGGTTGAGAGGGTCGCCCGGGTCCTGGCCCTATAGTTTCAGCCTTCCGTCTAAGGCTCGGTCCCGCCCCTCTGCCCTCTCTGCTGGTCCTACCTTGTAGACCTCAGAGAAGAAGCCGGCCCCGATCTTCTCCGCGCAGTGGAAATCGTCCACACGCGCTAGGCTGGACACCGCGCTGCGGAGTGCCCGGTAGGAGGAGGGGCGGCCCCGGCCCGGGCCTCCGCTTGCGGCCCCCGGCTCCGGGGGCCCCTCCCCCGGCGCTTCTCCGGGTCCGGGCCCAGGACCCCGCAGTGGGGGCCGTTCCCCGGCCATGGCCGGGACCCCAGCCCGGGCCTGTCTCACCTGGCAGGGTCCCTGGGGTCCGGGCAGGCCGCGCTCGCCATGGGCGCGCACTCAGCCCGTTCCGGGGCGCCTGGGCTCTCGCTCCCGCCCTGGATTATAGAAGATCCGCTGAAGATACTGGGCCCGCCCCCGCCGCACTGGTTTGCTGGGCCCGGGTGGACGCCGCTCCGCTCCGCTCTGCGCAGGGCCTGGGCCTGGGCCGGGCGGTGGCGGTGGCGCTCCCGGGCGCCGGTGGGCAAGCGGACAGGCTCACTGCAGGCGGAGGCGGGCGGGCCGGCGGGTGGCGGCTGCTCCGCTCAGCCGCTGGGGCTCAGGCTCCAAGGCCTGCCGGAAGCGGGGCTGAGCCGGGCCTTGGCTTAACTCCTTCGAGCCCGGCCCCTGGGCAGCGACCACGCCCCCTTAGGTATGCACACCCCAACCCCGGACCGCGACGTCCTAGGCGAAAGGGTGTGGAGCGTCGGGGTCAAATAAATTCAGCTGGAGCTGAATAACTGAAGGGAATTAGGGGCTGATTGTGCGCACACACAGCTCCAATGTCTTTTAACCTCCCTGGGAGTCTTTCTCCCCTCCCACTCTCAGGTCACTGTCGGTTGAGGGCCGGGCTTAGGTAGCCGCCCGATTCCTGGGCCCCGTGGACCAGCAGGGCATAAAAGTAGACCCTTTTGGTCCAGCTACAATCGGAGATAGCCCAGCAACCTCCCCACATTCCCGGCACCCACCCTGGTCCAACCTGCCGATTTCCCAGGTCTCACCTCTTCACCTTAAGCCTCGGGACTACCTGACACTTTCACCGTGTCGGGAGGTTGTGATGCCCTGGGGTTGTAGTGAGCCCTCGGCCAGTCCATCCCCTGATGTGGCTCTGACACCGACTCACTCCATCCCGCCTCCCTCAAGTTCAAGATTCCAGGGCTTCCGTCCAGTGACCACCCAGCCTAGACCTTACTCTTAACATTTCGGCCAAATAACCCTTTCTCCAAAGGGGAGCGTCCACCTTCGGGGAAGTCCCTCCTTCCGAGATCTCACTCCTCAGGAAAACTTCGCCCCTCAAGGCTACCTTCCCTTGGAGACCCTTTCCTTCCTCAGTGAGACATCTCTCCTTCAGGGGAACCTTTCCTCAGTATGACACTACCGCCATCAGTTTGAACCAGAGCTCCTCAGTGTTACACCCCTCCTCTGCAAGCTCCTCCACGCAGTGAGACCCCCGCCACCTCTCAGAGTGACTCCACCAGTCTTTGCGACCCCTCCTGTTAAGGTGACTGTTCCCGTGAGTGTGACCGCTCTGAGCAGGTTCAGCCCTCCATCCCTTGGGAATCCCGTCTGCCCCCTCAGGCTGCAGGAGCAGCTACAGCTGGCCTCTTTAAGTCGCCGCGGGGCCCAGAATGCGCAGCGCACTATGCCCTCGCTGGAGCCGACGCTTCCGGTTCTCCGCTGTTTCCACCCTCGAGGCTCGGCGAACTAGCCAATCATCGCCCGCGATGGGTGAGGACGCTCGATCCCGGCGGACCGCTCCCTGGCGAGAAGTAGCAGGTGTCGGGGAGCAGCTTGCCACCTAGCGGCGGAATGGAGGAGGGCAGCGGGAGTTGGGGCTGCCAGCATGGGGAGCGAAACAGGCTGCGTCAGAGCTGGCGGGAGGGAGGCTGAGTTCTCTTCAAAAATTCTAAAGTTCTGTATTTCTGTTACTGTGGCAAGCTAAAAAGAAAATACAAGCACAGCAATCGTTCGTGTGGGTGACCGCCTTCTAACAGAGCCTTGCCTCATATTTATGAGAGTTGGAGCCAAGTACGATTTAATTGTCAAGGGCTAATGAGGAAAGGCAGCCTTAGGTTATAAATGATGCATTAGGGTCGAGAGAAGGTCAGATGCTGTCACGGTGCACCGTACAAGGGAAGGTTTCCCAGAAGTTTGGAGAGGAACCGGAAAGATTCACAGTCCTTCCAGAGTCACTGGGGATGAGCCAATCTCAGCAACACAAACTTACCATCACATTAAATTAATGTTAACATCTACAGCTGTTTAGTTTGTAAATTCGCTTTCTATAGTTGTATGAGATCTTAGGAATATATGCTTCCCTTCGCTTAAATAATATTAGATAATTCAGTTGACAGATATCTGACGTTTTATTCAAGTTTGATAATACTATAGTTAGAGATAGTAATTCCAAGCAGAAAAGCCAAGTTCTTGTTTTAGAAAGATCACTGTGGTGGTTGTATGGAAGCAAGGAGACTGGTTAGGAAGGAGGATCCAACAATGCTTCACTCAGAAGAGGATGAGGGACCAACTAGGATAGGGATAATAGGGAAGGAGAAAAGGGAACATTCAACTAGGATGGGAAAACTTGCTGACTTACTGATATCCCAAGCCAGTCAGTCCTGTGGAGAAAAAGAGCATCATCCAGGATAATTTTTAAGTTTCTAGCTTAGATGACTGGGTGATGGCAGCTGAAACGAAGAATCCAGGAGGTGGAAAGATTAGGAGGGGGAAGACAGATGATTGCAAAGGGGTGATGGTAAAGGAAACTATGAAGGTGGATGCCATCATCCAAGTCGGGTGTTTAGAGGGAGAAATAGGTGGACAATGGAATCGTGGGGAACACCACGATTAGAGCATTAGAGGGTGGATGAGAATTCCACAAAGGAGACAGAAGAAACAAGCTGAAAGATAGGAAGAGAATCTAGAGTGTCTGATGTCATGGAATCCAAGGAATGGTGAGTTTAGGAAAAGTGGAATAATAAAAAACATTAAATAGTGCAAAGTAGGCTAGAATGTTTTAAATGTTCTTGGAGTTAGGCTATTAGAAGATCTTTTTGATTGTTTTCTAACATTTTATGATGGAAAATGGTAAAAAAAAAAACCCCCACAAACCAGAAAATTGAACACTGGACCCTTATTTACCTTGGTTAAGAAAATTTTGTTGGAGACCCATTGTGAAAGTCACTTACCAATGCCTCAGTTGTACTGTTGCCAAAAGTGACCTGGCTGAGGTGAAAATTAATACAAGCACAGCCCTCATACCTGCTTTCATGTACCTTCTATGACAGTGATTCTCCAATGATCAATTCACAGCTGATCTTATTTCATCTATACCCCTGTTCTCTCCCTTCAGGTACTTGGTACATATTTCTGACATTATATCCTTTCATCAATAAATATTTCAGTATGCCACCTCTAAAAGATAAGGATTCTTCTTTAAAACATCACAGTACCACTGTCACACCTAAAAAAATACATAATAATCCCTTAATATCATCACGTACCTTTTTGTTCACATTTCCCCCATTGTCTTATACTTAAACATTTATTTGAATAAAAATCTGAAGTCCATACTTTGCAGCTGATATGTCTCTTAAAGTTCATCCTCCATCTTTTCCCCTTACTATTTTCTTCTTCTTCTAATAAACCAGGTCATATGTCATGTAGAGTTTCTCAAAGTCTGAATTTTGTTGAACTTCATCTGCTGTATTTACCATGTTCCTCAGTCCCCTGTATTTATGGTAAATTGGTAGTTTAAGACTTAACAGATTTGGATCTGATTATTTTGGCAAAACTAATTCAGAAGTGATTTTAGTGCTTTTATTAAGAGGTATAAAATATGGTGGTGGTCTTTTGTCATATTAGTAACTAATTATGACCACTGTCTAGACCAGTTTCTCAAACCTGGCTCTACTGACATTTTGGGCTAGATTATTATTGTAGGGGGTATCCTACATTGTAGGACGTAGCATCCCTGGCTTCTACCGACTGGATGCCAGTAGTAACTCCCAAATGTGACAACCAGAAATATCTCTACACATTGCTGATTGTCCCCGAGAGGCAAAATTGTCTCTGATTCAAAACCACTGGTCTAGGCTAATTAATACAGGAGTTAGAAAATAATATTCTCATTCTGTTCTTCCTTATTTATTAGGTAGAATACTTCTACAAAGAAAAACTTTTCCACATTAACTACTTATTAACCCAGAGATAAATTTCATTTAGGCAAGGTGATAAAAATGCTTGATTGTCTGCCTTTTATTTTACCACTTTTAAAGTAATGTGGTTTTCCTAGCATCCTTTAAAAGGGACCAATGAGTTTATTTTTTGGTACCATTATGAATTCATAATTTAACACATATATGATGTGTCTCAGTCTTTGGCAATTTTTATCATTTTTGATGCTAAAATTGTCCTATTTTGGCCAGTGAGAACTTACTCAAGTAGGCTCTTGAGTCTTGATATGACCCTTAAGGTTTTTTGCTATTTGATATGATAGTTTCAGGCTCATTTTGTGCATCCTTAGACTAGAGCTGGTATCCGCTAATGTTTTCCATGATTCATAGTTCGTTTTAGCTGGAAATGATTTTTAGAGACTACAATTTGGGTACTAGGTATATAAGATTAATTTGACCTTAGGAAGTAGTGTTAAATGAATATAGTCAATTATTTCCCACCATCTCTTTATTATGAAGAATTTCAAATGCAGAAAAGTTGATGAAATGCAGTGAACACCTGTATACCTCACCTAGATTCAACAGTTAATATTTTGTCATTTTTGTTCTGTCTCTCTAATGTTGTATTATGTAATACATAAACTTTTATTGTATCATCTGAAATAAGCTGCAGGCATCATGACACTTTGTTAGCACTATCTCCTAAGGTCACTTTCTATGCAGCCATGATCACATCTTGACTTATGTTCTTCATTTAGTTTCTTGATTTTCCTCCTATTTTATTGGCTCCTTTCTCTAGGTCTCTCTTGATGATTTTTCATCTTCCTGACCTCTGAACAGTGGTGTACCCAGAGCTCCATCATAACTCTTCTCTCTACACACATACACAGTGGGTCATTCCATTAACTCCAAAGCTTTAAATACTATTTATACTAATGACTCTTATTTTCTCTTGCCCCAACCTCTCCCCTGAATTCTAGATGCTTATACTCAATTGCATACTCATCATCTCTAGTTAGATATCTAATCTCTTTTCAAAATTGACGGATACAAAACAGAACTCTTGAATCTTCCCCTGCTTTTCTCCAAGGTTTCTTCATCCCAATAAATGCAATCTAGTAGAGGCTCAGGCAAGACAATTCAGTTATCCTTGACTCCTCTCGTCTCTACATCACATCTAGCCCATCAGCAAACTGTGTATGCTGTATGTTTGAAATCTGCCCAGAAACTGATCACTTCTGATATTTCCACTGCCTCTAATCCAATCTAAGTCACCACTGTCTTTTTTTGGATTGTTGCAATAGCTTTCTTTCTTGTCTCCCTGCCTGCTTATGCTTTTGTCTCCCTACAGCCTGTTCTCTTTACAGCAGTCAGAATACTCCTTTTAAAGTGTAAGACAGGTAATTTTCTCTCTCTTCTTAAAACCCATCTGTTGTGTTCAGAGTCAAATCCAAGTCTTTCCTATAGTTCTCTTTTTTTCTAATATTTATATGTTTGATTTCTATTCTCTTGCTCTGGCTTTCCCCTTGATGTAGTTTGATATTGGCTTCTCATTTCAAATATTCTTTATCATTTTCCTATTCCTGGTTTACTAAGAATCCTTTTTTAAAAAATCACAAATGGATATTTAATTTTATAAAAGATTTCCCCAGTATCTGTCAGGGTAATCAAATGGTTTTTATTTCCTTTGGTTCATCCCTGTTAATTACACTGATAGACTTTCTAGTTCAATCATTGCTGTAGTCCTGGAATCCTACTGCTCTTAATGTGTATTATTCCTTTGTAATATTGCTAGACTTACTTATTTCATATTATATGCCAGACACCTCTGTCTGATGTTGGAGGTACAATTGTGAACAAGATAGACAAGGTATCTGCCCTTAGTGAGTTAGCTGTCCATTCATAGGTAATAAAGAGCAGCCATTTGCCAGCACTTCCCTTGTTGAATCTTTGGCAGATTGCATGCAAGATATGCCATCGTGCAGACACTTGAGAGGTCTCAGAAAGAGCTGTGACCATTTGGTGATACCTGCCATTGGATTGGAGGAAAGAAGACAGTTATGGCAAGCATCCTGCTATTTGCTATCCCTGGTTTGATGTTTTAGGAATTTTCATTTGTGTAACTTGTGTGAGGTTTGTTAGGTCTTGTATTAATTTCATACCAGCTTTATAAATTAAATTTAGTGTGAGTTTTTTGGTAGGAGATATCTATTTGATCTTTTTCAGTTTCTTCTATAGTCATTATTTTATTCAGGTGCTCTACAACATGTTGGGTTAATTTTAATTTATATTTTCCTAGAAAAAATGAGATTTTCTACTTTTACTTAGTATTTTGTTATTAAAAAAATTCCTGCGTGCTGTTTTTAGCTACTTCGTCATACCATTAGGGGGTTTGTGTAGTTTCTTTTTCTCTTTTGGCTAGTAGTGCCAATGGCTTATATTGTTGTCTTTTT